ACTACACTACTACAACACTACTACACATTACTACACTATAACACTACTACAACACTACTACACTACTACTACTACTACTACTACTACTACTACTACTATTACTACGTTATATATTCATATTTTCGCTCGTCGAACCTTAAAATTAATCGAGCAACGGAACATTCTGCAATTTTGTTCTCGCATTCCTACGATGATGATGTTCTCCCCGTGTATATTCATGAGGCCGGCCTGTCACGATACGCAGCAAAGCACAGAACATTCTCGGTAAACGGTATTGGGATCCTTTTAGATGAAGGATGAAGAAAATGTTTGATTTTGCACCCTCATTTTATCACTACGTTATCGACATTTATTAACCTTTTAAGTTCTACATTATCAGGTTATCTTATTTTCCCTCAATTTTGCATGCCCCTTGCAACGATTGGTCAATCCCACGGACCAATAACATTTCTGGTTTATTTTTAGTTTATCTTAGTTAATTCGAGTCGAGTGAAAACTAAAAGAAATGCTTTAGGATTAAACGATATAACATCTTTGAAAAATATATTTTATGTTTATGAAATATTCTGTCGATGTGTAATATCATTGGGAATGGTACCAAGATGTAACATGAAACGTGCCACGGTATTCGTTTACCATTTCGCATTCTTATGGGAATGGCACGATGGTTTGTTGGTTCGTTTCCAGGGTTCGGAGCTTTGATCGTACACCGAAACTCATGCCACAGAAGCGTGATCAAAATTCGTTTATATTTTTACCGTTGTTGCAATCTTTCTATCCAGCTGATCAATTTCAATATCTTTTTTCAATCGCACAAAACTATATAAAAGTATATTTTTTGATTAACGAAATAAAGGGGGATATCATTCGTTTTTTTTTTTTTTTTATTTGGTAATTTAGTATATTAAATTTCAAAGAATTTTAATTTTTCAAAATCGAATAAGAGAGAATATTTTAAGACGAAACGAGTTATTTCCTCCATTGTTTTTGTTCCATCCAATTTTGGAATATTTAAGAAATTGATTCTAAATATAAAAAAGAACTATGACGCAATGTACTAATGTAAATGTAAATATCGTTCCTTATGAAATATAAGGAATCTTTATGTTTTACGTCATTAATTTAGATGTTTTACAAGCAATTTCCCTTATCGTACATAATACATACATACATGCGTCATCTCGTATTCGCGTAAACATTTTTTGTAAAGCTTATTCGTCGTGTCTGGAGCATCGAAAAGGTTAAAGTCGGCGCCACGCGCGCCAACGTTGGAATTCCGACGTAGAAAGAACACGAACAGAATGTCGCCGGCATTTGCTTCGTTGAGTCGTTGGAAATACGGCGTCTCTCGTTACTCGTTCATCTCTCTTTTTCTCTCTCTCTCTCTCTCTCTCTCTCTCTCTCTCTCTCTCTCTCTCTCTATTTCTCTATCTATCTATCTATTTCTTTCTTTTTTTCTTTCTTTCTTTGTTACATAAAACATACATATAAACACGTACGTGATGAAAACAACGAATACAAAAATTACGATGGTGATAATGGTTATGCTCTAGCGAATAATTAACATCGATAGCTTTACGTCTGATGTAATGCTGCGATTTTTACGAAATTAATCCGACTGGTATAGTTTACGATTTAAGCGATAAATAGATCAAAGAGTAACATTTTTTTAATTACATTTTTATTTCGACTTATTTATATGACTGAGATCGATTTATGGACAATTAATTTTTGCCGTTTTACTTTATTATTCGACTTAAAATTAAATTTATTGTCAAATCTTATAATCCATTGTATTTCCTTTGAATTTTATTTTATCTCAATTCTTTTTTCTATTTTTTTTTTATTTCTTTTTTTTTTTTTATTTATTTATTTCTTTTGTGATGTCATTTTGAATTCGGCGGTATATTAGGAGAAAAAATGGCAGCGGTTTCTTTTTCTTTTCTTGTTTTCTTCGAAGTAGTAGAAAATTTCATTAAAAAAAAAAAAAAAAACGAAGGAGAAAACTTACGTGATTTTATAATAATGTTATCATTAATAAGTTCGTACGTGTGTAAAGTGTTTTATATCATACTGTGATGAAGCTTCATTCATTAAGATAAATCACGGAGAATTTTTGCTTATATAAAAATTGTCAAACATTTTGTTAAAACATTTTTTAAGAAGATCTATATGTTTTAATATGATTGCTTGGCTATTTAAAAAGATGGATTTAAAAAAGAAAAAAAATTGAAATTTTAAATTTATTACAAAAACTATTGTTTTTTCTAAGAAATATACAATATGAAATATTATCGTATGTCACGTATATTTTTCCTTCGTTCTTTTCATTTCGTTTAAATTCAACGTCGGAAAAGTAAAGGTTTACACGTTCCACGTCTAGCTTTTATTGGACAATTCGATGACAGTTAGAACGAGATTGCACAACGATCATAAATGCACGTCCGTGAACGTCGTTTACACACACACGCGCATACACGCATACGCGCTGACAACGCACTAGGAACAAATACGTGGATCGAAGACGATTAATTCGGTTGCGTTTGAATTGTTATTTTGTAGAGTGGCCACGGTCGGTGAGTTAGTCGAGAGAGTTACGTATGAGTGAGTTACATATATCTGTTCCGCCATTTTCAAGGCAGATGGCACTACGATCGTTCGAGTCCATACGACAATCATGATCGTTTTTAAATAAAACGTTTCTTTTTATTTTTAAAAGTTTTTAAAGACTTCAAGTTCATGAAAAAGATAATAAAAGTAATGAATCGAGGTTAACTAAAAGAAAATACGGCAGAACATCGTCGTTGTAAATTTCAAGCAAGAACTTGGCACTCGATTTTATTTTATTTAAACCCTCGGCCTGCTCTTTTGGCGACGTTTTTAAACATCGGTCAAGATGTCCTTTGTTTTCCGAGTTCTTTTGTATGTGTTGTCTGTATCTAAATATATATATATATATATATAAATGAGGCGGTAGACATTCCACATAATTTATACAGATAGTTTTTTTATTTATATCTTGATGTGAATGGTCGTTAATCTGTTAACTGCCAAGAATGATTTTTTTACAATTTTCATCGTTGAATTTTCGTTCACCTCTCCTTGTCATTGTCGTCATAGACGATTCGTTGGCAGCGTCATAACATTGCGCCCGATTTATTTTTATGCCGACGAGAAGTGTCTTATTATTGGCGATCGCGAGCGCGATAGATCTTATGTCGTGAAAATGAACTGCGATGCAACTCGATGCTGTCGATCGCATTCTTTCATCTGTGGGTAGCCACGTAATGGCTCTGGTACAGTGGTTCAGATATATATATATATAGTCGCAAAAAGAAATAATATATCTTCTTTAAAAAGGACGAATAATTACAAATTATAATTGTTTAAAAAAGAAAAGAAAAGAAAAAAAAAACAAAAAGGAAAAGAAAAAAAATTTCATTAAAAATTGATTATTATAAGTCCACATTTCTTGATATATTATATTTCGTTAATGTCTATTATACGATCAATGCGATCCTATAACAATATGTTAAAACAATTAAATCATAATAACTTTTCAATGTTTTCATTTGAAAGAAGAAAATATTAGGTTTTATCTATAAACGTTCTTATAATTTTATCAGAGAGGAAGAAATTGTTAATATTAATGGAAATTAGATTGTGAATTAAATATTATTGTTTTTTTTTTTTTTTTTTTTTTTTTTTTTTTTTATATTTAATTCTTTGTTTTTTTCATATTTAAGAAATGATTAGAATTTTTTCGATAGAGATATAATGTATTTTGGAATATTTTAAAAAGGAGTGATTCGTAATGATTTTCGAATATCGACTATCTCTCGATCTCTCGATTTCTCTTTTCACGAGCATCGATCTTTATCGTCGTCGATAATGTGTACGTAAGAAACGGCAGTAATGGCTGTATAGCTTGGAGGGGAGAATAGAGGAGCCAAAACGAGGTTAGACGACACGAGACTGCTTCTTGAGGAAAGTCATCAGTAATAGTCGGGATGGCACTTGTTGTATGAACGATCGGTGTGCTTCTCGATCGATCGTCAGATCGATCATGATATTATTTATCGTCGAGTGATTTTCATTTTATTGGAAAAATAATATAAAGAGTTTTTACCCGACGCGCACGTGGAAGAAAAAAGTGTGTCGAGTAGAGGAATACGCATTTGTGTGACGTTTTCATTTATACCTATTTATAGTGCGTTATCTGATTTCGTTCTGTGTGTTTCTCTAGGTGAAACGAGTGAATTAATAAAATACGTGTACGTGCGTGTGTAAACATGAGCGTTTGGTTTCTTAAGTTTGTACGTGACTATATAATCTTTTTGTAGATTCATTATCGATTTCTCAATCATTTATTTTACTTTTAGTTTTGTTACGTCATCTTTCATTCATATTAAATCGAATTAAAAATTTTTATTTATATCATTAATAAGCGCGTTGAAACTTATTATCGTCGACATTTTTAAACGACATAAAAAAAAATTCCCGCCTTAATATTTCATTCGCTTTACTCAAGTAAAACTGATGCTGTGATATCGATTTATTCGAATGTTTTTTCTTTTCCTTTTTTTTTGTTTCTTCCCCCCTTTTTTTTTTTTTTTTTTTTTTTTTTTTTTGCAATTCATTACTCATGAATTATGATAGGTCGTTTAATTGTAAAAAAGAAAAAAAAAATAATCGTGATTAAGTAAATCGATCGATTAGATATCGAACATTATATACGTATTTATATTACTTCATTTGATACTGATCTATAATTAATTTCTTTCGTTTTCTTCTTAACTTCCTCTTTTTTTTTTTTTTTTTTTTTTTTTTTTTTTTTTTTTTTTTTTTTTTTTTTTTTTTTTTTTTTTTTTTTTTTTTTTTTTTTTTTTTCTTATGGTCTTGACGATATTATCGATAATGTACAAATTGCCGCTAATCGTTATTACCACCGTCGTCGTACGACATTTTAGAACTTATTTGTGTATAGTAATATATTCTTACGCGTTAGAATTTATTTATTTATTTATTTTTTTCTTTTTTTTTTTCTTCGAAAGTAAATATATTTTAAATATATTTGATTCGTTTTTGTTGAATAGATTTAATTGTACGAAGTATCACTGTTTATATGTAAGAATTTAATCGAATTGGCTACGATATCAATGGGGTTTGTCGGTATATTAAACAAGATAATTAAATTTCGATTGTTTACATTGATTTTCATACTAGAGGCTGCAAATGAATTGTTGGTACAGCCTGTTATCTTTTCTAATAATCACCATTATTACTGCATCTGTTTAAGTTTACATTGTTAGTTCATTGAACTCGTCCAGAGAAACATAACATAGTACCTATAAAATATATATGATTTATATTTAGAAAAGATAAAGAAAAAAGTAAATGGTTTTAAAAAATGATCTTTTCGATTTTACACATACACACACACACATATATATATATATATATATATATATATAATATCGTAGCAATCAATTACGAACCATTAATTAAATTTGTTATATAATGGCATATTATATTTAATTAATAGAATACCAATTAATAATATAACAATTAATATATTTATATTAATTAATCGTTCAATTATTTCCCAAAGTAATCAATGAATTATCGTAAACAATTAGATGCACCTGAAATATTTTTAATGATTAATGTATGACATGCGCGATATGACAAAGTAATCCGTTCAATTTCTAATATCAAACGAAATCATACTTCGTCATTGTTCCATTTGCATTTGCGTTGCACGGATCGGCCTTTGCTATTCGCTTGGCTCAATAAACATCATAGAAAATAGATTTATGCGTAAGCGAGCGTCTATGACGTTTGATCGCAAATCAGAATGGAAGAGAGAAAGAGAAAAGGAGAAAAGAAAAGGTGGATTGACGGCCGACTGCAACGATAGCCCTGGACCGAAAGTCTATCTCAAATAGAAACGACGAGAAACGACGTATGTAACTTGCTTCCCCATCGCGCGTGGGTTCAGGGTTGAGGCCGACCGAAGATGACCTTGAACGATCGTCGATAGTACTTCGGCATACCAAGAGAGCCGACCGCTTGCCAAAAGCTCTCATCTTCTTTGACTCTTTTTTTCTCTCCCTCCCTCCCTCTCTCCTCTCTCTCTCTCCCTCAATCTTTCTCTCTCTCTCTCTCTCTCTCTCTCTCTCTTTCTCTCTCTCTCTCTCTCTCTCTCTCTCTCTCTCTCTCTCTCTCTTTCTCTCTCTCTCTCTTTCTCTCTCTCTCTCTCTCTCTCTCTCTTTCTCTCTCTCTCTCTCTCTCTCTCTCTCTCTCTCTTTCTCTCTCTCTCTCTCTCTCTTTCTCTTTCTCTCTCTCGTTCAATCACTAACTCATAGACTCACCTACATTTTCTTTTTTAAATTTTAGGATTAATTTATCTCTTTACAATTTTATTATAATATTTTTCTTTACTTATTAGTTCATTGATTTTGTACCTTATTAATAGTTCATACTTATTTTTAATTTTGATTTCGTTACAATCATTTGATTTCGTTACTATCATTTGTTTTATGCAATGACTTAATTTATTTTTATTAAATAGATTTTATATATATATATATATATATATATATATATATACATATAATGCATATGTATAACATTTATTATATTTATATATAGTTGTTATAAATAGGATAAGTCGGAGAGTGATGGCCCAATTTTTCTTTTTTGTTTTTTTTTTTTTTTTTTAAAGCTTTAATACATAGTAAATTAAAATCTATATCCAAAAATATATTTGTGAAAGTGGATAGACGAGAATAATTTTAATTTAAAAAAGAAAAGAAAAAGAAAAAGAAAGAAATTATTTCCCATGCATAAGTCTATCTATCTCACTCGAACTGTCCGAGTGAGGTGACCCATGATTCAGTATGTCATGGCTCAGATGAAAAAAAAAAAAAAGAAGATTTTGAACATAATAGGAAGAAAAATTATTTATTTCGCTCGCATAAAAATTCTTTAAGGAAATTATGTAAATACAAAAATGTTGAACATTCTTCATGAAACCTTCTTATCACATCTCACAGATCGAATTCAGTCGTCTTGTTTCCATGTATGGCTCTCCGAATCCAACGCATTTAACAATTATTTTCTTCCCAAAAATTTTTTTCAGATTTAAGGATTACAAAATTCATAAAATTTTTATCCGAAGATAAATCTTCCGTAATATTTTTACGTTTGAGTTTACCTGAATTTTTAGCACGTTTTGTTAGTTTTGCCACTTGAAACCTCTCCTTACGGTTTCTAATTTATTGAACTACACCTGATGACGTAGTGGAGATTGGATTAATTTTATCTAGCATTATGTCTGGCACGTCTGTCACGGGAATCTTTTTATTAATTGTTTTCGAACAACCAGATGGGGCAGATATTCTCTATTTTCCTTTGTATTTTCTTCAGTTACATGAGACACATGTTGTTTTGGTTGTTGTTTCTCATTTTAAGAAAGCGCATAATAAATCTTCGCCATTAAATAAAATTAACAGAAAGAATAAAAATCTTTCTGTTAATCATTTTAAAAAGATTTTTCTGACAATTTAAAAAGTAATTTTTTTTTCTTTTTTTTTTTTTTAAATGATTATCAGTCTTATTACTAAAAATATTTGAAAATTGGATTATATTTATAAAATATAAAATCATACCATCTCACCCATAGGACCATCTCATACGGATATGTAAGAAATATAAAAAATGTTATATATGCATATAACAATTTAACATAATATTGTTTCATTTATAAAACAAAATATAATATTGTTTTATATATATATAAACAGTAATTTTTTTCAAATTCGATTATACTCATTGATCTTAAATTATACCATTTTGCACGGGTTTGTTAAATAGAAAGAATAGATTAGAAGTTTCGTATTAGTTGTTTGAGATTCACTACGCAATATTCGCTTGTCTACGCTCGATAAGTCGGTTCTATGTATCCTTGTGATACAGATTAATAAATAACGTGAAATACAAAGTAATAATTATTAATTATCGCATTCTTGTTTTATATAATCGAACAGACTAAAAAAGATCAAACTTTTTCAACGTTGCTATTTTTCTATTATATCATCTATCGTGTAGCTCAACTCAACTTTTTTTGCACTTCGCTTCGATCATGATAACGATCGATAAGTTTGATAAAAGATATTCCAAAAGTTATCTAACAATATATACGCGTTAGTAAGCACGTAACAAAATCTGCTAGCTATTAACACTTTTCGAAACTTATCTATATAAAGCTTAGGCATTTAAAATGGTTCGTTTAAAAATGAAACAAAATGATTTCAAGAAAAATTGTTTGGTCTTAAAAAGATAAGAAAAAAACAAATAAACAAATAATCCATAAAAATGGATTCGAAAAGCATATTTTTTTTTTTTACATATTTTTTTATGAGATATCATTATCACTAAGTGTTCTTAGTTTTTGTTTACTTATATAGAAATTATTGGAACAGGATCAAGGCGAATTCTCTTCGTTTCTTATCTTCTCTTTTCACAAAAATATCCACAATTTTTTTTACAGAAAAAAAGTTCCTCGTAAGGCTTTAAAATGATCCTTTGTCCTTTAATAAATAAGATTATCCAAACGAATGATGAATTTATTTAGTGATTTCTGGTAAAAATAAAAACAAAAACAAATATTTCCATAGAAAACGATTAAAGTGTGTGCACGGTGATTGAAAATTTCGTGTATTCCTAAAGGAAGTAATTCATCTTGGAGGAGCGGAAATATGAGTGTCATGGCGGATAGTACGTGACCATTTCTTCTCGCAGAGCATGCAACGTTTCGATAACGAAGAGACACGATGATCATCCTCGTTCGATGATTTTTTACTACAGCAGCATCCTGGAATAAAGTCTATCTTTTCCTTAATCGTGTAAAATGCAAGCGTTTAGCAGACTCGCCTCTGGAAATGTGTTCAAGAAGAAGGCAGGTTTCGTATTGAGAATGTTTCTGTACGTACAAATCGGCGTTATCGGTTTAATATCTAGTTCTTTCGTACTTTTTTTTCGAGTGCTCTTTTTATTTTTATTTCTATTGTTATTTACTTCTTGATTTATTTATTTATTTTATTTTATTTTATTTTATTTTTTTTTTTTTTTCGTCATTAATTCGTAACGTCATTTATTATTGATTTCGCTTATATCCTACATTGAGATGGTACGATTTTTAAATAATGGACTCTCTCTAGGATCATGTCAAAATAATCCGAAAAAAGCCATTTGGAATTTTATCTCGCGTGTGAGCACGCAACACCCCTTAACGAGCAGCACGACAGGCATGTCAGGCCGCAAACAATTCGCCCACGTGGCTTCTATTTTAAGCGTCATACTATATCCTATATTTATCTTCACTGCTGCAACCTCTTAAAACACCGGTAACGACCGTGGAAGAGTAATTAGAGACCGGACGAAAAAAATGAATAAGCGAGGATGTGCACAAAGCCTTTTTCCCTCTTTTCTCTCTCTCTTTCTCTCTCTCTCTCTCTCTCTCTCTCTCTCTTTTTCTCTTTCTTTGTCTCTGTCTCTTTCTCTATCTCCTATTTTCCTTTTCGCGATAAGACGAAAGAATTGTTTCGTATGTGTAGTTTCACATTGTAATTAGTGTTCGCATATATCTCTGTGGTGCCTGTTCGTGATTCATCGAGTCGAATAAATTATCAAGTAAAATTTTTATCGAGTCGTAGTGTAATAAATTGATAGCATTTTACAATATTCATTTCATTCATTTATTCATCTTCGTTGCTTAATAATTAAACGTTTATTATTTTGATTTGGGCCTCTCGCTAACTTTTCTCTTGGGAATCTTTTAATCAACATCTCTTAAAAACTGAACAATATTTCAAGCTTTAAGTAACATTGACAATAATTGTATTATTTCGTTAAGTTATTATTATTTGAAATTAATTCGTAATAAGGATCTTCATGTAATATTTCATTAAATAGAAACTTTGCGTAGATATTTTTACGTGAAGCTTCTGCAACGAGAGAAATGCGATATTCTTCTTCGTCTAGAAGATTGTATTTATCTGACAAGAGAAGGATGGTAAAGTTGGAGTTGCGGTTCCGCCAAATATCTTGGCTATTTGTGCGAATCAAAATCACACGTCTCTCGTTACAATGTTGTACGGTTTATATGCTTGTATTTCTCGTTCAAAAATATTTCCTTCGCCATTTTTCACTTACCTAACAATTTTTCAATACAATCTGTTTAACAAAATATTATTATCATTATGATTACACGATGATCTTATAATGATTTTCTTTCTTATCATCGACTACTTTTATTTCGCAGACGAACAAAGTGTCAGGAGGTCCTCCACATGGCAATGCCTCACCTCCACCGACACTCATCAACAAAGTCAAGTATCAACCTGGTGGGCCTGTAATCAAAAAGGATAAAAGACAAAGCAGCTCGAGATTCAACATATCAAAGAACCGAGAACTTCAAAAGCTACCGCTCTTGGCAGGTTTGTTTTATTTTCCATTTTGATTAGAATATCGATTATTATCTCCTATCGTACATCCTTTTTATATTCTTACGTCGCTTTTCTTTCACGTTTTATTTTAGTATTTCATACCTCTTGATAATTCTTGACGAATAAAAAAGTAAACCTCTTTCTTTCTTACAATTAGTTATGATCTATAATTAAAGTCTTTATTTAATCGACAGTGCATCGAACGATTATGCACTTTTTTAACGAGATATTATTAACAGCCCTAAGAAAAATGGAAAAAAAAGTTATGGAATGAGAATAGCGACGTTATAAAAATGTCACATCTAGTTATAATAGAGTATATCGGACACTCACACCCACGCACACACATACACATACATGATATCGGATTCGATATTGGATTTTTTTATCCAACATGTAACAAGTATCTCATGTTGTTTTTCCTACGAGATCACCTGGCTTAACATACATCCTACTTTTATTCCATCATATTGGCAACCTACGAAAATTTCACGAGAGATTTGTTTATCATTAAGTGAAAAAGAAAACATGGCCTAAGTTAGATTCCATCTTTCAATTGTTATCCTCTTATCGTGTTAAGACTTTTCCACTTTTCTTATCCATATTTTGGATAAGAAAAGTCGTCTTGTTTTAACCATTTGCATTGTGTTAGAAGTAATCGTTAGAATGACCCTTATCGATCCTCCACGGTTGGAACGGATGGTACCTGACGTTCCACTTTTACGGATAGATAGACAATAAGCTTTCACGTTAATTAAAGTTACTTTGTCGGAAAGCTATGTCCTCGGTTAAACGATGAAAGAAGTGGTTCAAAGGGGAAGGCAGTATTTCCTTTTGTCATCTTTGAGTATCACCGACGCCGGTAGCGCGTTCAACAATTTCTCTTTTTCTTTCTATTTCCCAATTTATTATACATAAACTGCGTATTATTTCATTACAAATTCGATTATTTTTCATCATATTAGAAAAATTTTTAATCGCGTTTAAAGATATTAGACAATTAACAGATCGGCCATTATATGGAAATAAGTAATGCATTTTGATATATATCGGTTATATTTATAATTAAATAAAAATCTTTATCAAAAATATTAAAAAATTCAAGAAAATCGATAATATTCACAATTAAGCAAACGCTATTGAATATTAAACAATACTATAATAACGACTCTTATATAATTTTATATAATACTTAAATAATTACATAAGTTGTATATATATATACAAACACGAAGAATACTCGTGATCGCATCAACAACGTATTAAGTTCAAAATCCATTAATAAATAATGTGTTAATTTAAAAATGAGAAAAAATTGAGTGCTTATTGAATCGAATGTTTATTAATCAATGGTAAGTGTTTTTCTAATGCAAATGGCGACTACTCAATTGGTAACTAGAGACAACACGATATCAAGCATCGGTGGTGTTGATTTCGAAAATGAGCCGGAACCTTATAAATCAGCCCGCACATGATGCAAACTGCACAAAACGTGTATCGCTTACATTACATATTATGGCTTTCTCTTTTTTAATATTTTATGTGAAGTATTATATATATAAAACACAAATAGAACATCTAATTCTAAAGTTTTATTTAGTAGTTGTATGAACATTGGTTCCATTAAAAGTATTATATAAAAAGTTGTATATGCGAGTATTGTTAGTATGTATATATATATATATATATACAATACTAATAATGTATATAAATAAAAAAAATCATTAGTAGTGGGACATAGAAACTATGTCGGGCATTGTTACATTTATTCATTTTCAAGAAGACAAAAAAAAAAAATTCCCGCGCTCTGCGATTCTATACATTTGTCAATGTAATCGCCATGGCAATTATATATGTACTTACTACTATTAAACATTCATATTTAGTATTAGCGTAAAAGGATATTATAAGAAAAGAACAATACGCGAATAAAAAAAAAAAAAAAAAAAAAGAAAAAAAAAGAAAAAAGAAAGAAAAAGATTAATACGTATGGTTTCATAAATTTTATGATGATCGCTATTTAACCTCCAAAAATGACCTGATCTCTTATCTATAAAAAAAAAAAGAAAAAAAGAAAAGTATGAAAGTCCGTAGAGATTTAATGATAAAAAAAAAAAAAAAGAAAAAAAAAGGAAAGTTACGAGACAAGACGACGAGAGGACACGATAGGGAAACGACATGACACGCGCGTAACGCCATTAAGTATCGTAAAACATTGTGCGTTACTTTCTCGTGAAAGGAACGAGGATAAAAAAAAAAAATCAGCGTTCCCGCCCTTTCTCAATACAATAATATACATACACACAATGCGTATATACATGCGTATTTAAACGTACGTACATAAGTGCGCGTAGGTAGGTAGGGGACGCGCAATGCATATGCGCCCGCGCGTGCATTGCATGTGTATATATGTATATATTTATATATGTATATACATGTTGCGTTGCTAGTGTTTCGTGCGCCGGTCAATCGGGGTTGCTTGGCTCGCTCGCGACGAGTAGCAGCAGCGCTCTTCCTACGTCACAGTCTATCGATTCTATTTTATCATACATAGGTGCTCTCTCTTTCTCCCTCTCTTATTCGCCGGGCCGTCGCGCAAGCGCTTCTCACTTCGATTCACACACCGTTTCTCGTTTCTCCTAACGTAAACACACACGGTCCGTCCTCTCTCTATCCTATTTCTCACCTTACCTCAACGTTTTTCCACTCTCTTGATCATTTCTCGGTCATCATCATAGACTTCATACATATATATTTATATACACATAGATAGATACATATATACATACATATACATATATACATGTATATTTTACTTTCCCCCTCCTCGTCATTTTTCATTTTGCTCTACAATATTTATACACCTTTTTTTCTTCCTCTCCTCTTTTCTCCTCTCCTTTCCTCGTCTCTCGTCTCACTTTACTTTTTACCTCAGGTTTGGTACAAGAGAGCCTAGACCATCGACCCTTACTTCATGTTGAGAGATACAATCACCTTTGACCCGGCTACCGAGATCGAAAAGTACCCGCGAAATACGATTTTACGTATCGGTCAATCGTCGAAAAATTTATATAGTGTGACAGTTTGGAAACAGTGCTAAATAGGATTTGACGGCTCGATCGATTCTTTAACTTCTCTTCTTCTCGTAGGAAGCAACAGATTGTTGCGTATGCTTGCGAAACGCGAGAGTTGAACGATACGAGATATATGATGTTTGTGTTTCTTTAGATCTATCGAGAAACGTGTTAATTAGAATGAGAGTGTGGAGCTAGGTAGTAAGTAAGAAAAGGTGCTATAGGATACACCAAGAGTACTTAAAAAGTAATAAAGTATTATACGTACATAATTACGATGGTTCATGTCGGAGGTATTGGTCCTGCTGTTGGAGTCATAGGTTTACCAAAGAGTCCTAGTTTTCATCAAGGTTTAGCTTTCGCCACTGTATTACCTCAGGAGCCGCACAAGTTTTATCCAACCTCATTTGCCTTGCATTATCAACCTTTGCAGCCTTTAGTAATCGGTAAAAATGTCAAAGAGTAAATTGTATTTGTCATGTATTAAATAAATTTTTATTTCTTCGTTTCAGAGACTCAACAAGGCAATGAAAGAGAAGAACTTTTCATACAAAAGTTACGTCAATGCTGCGTACTCTTTGATTTTGAGTCTGATCCATTATCGGACTTAAAATGGAAGGAGGTAAAGCGTACGGCTCTTCATGAAATGGTCGAATATGTAACCAAAAATAAAAATGTTATTACCGAAGCAATCTATCCGGAAGCAGTGAATATGGTACGTTAGATATATAATGATATGAAATTGTTGTAAAGAATTTTTTATATCAATTATTCCATTTATAAATACATATATCTATTGGATTTTTGTAGATAAATATTATTTTAATCCATATATATTTCTTTACAGTTTGCTGTGAATTTGTTTCGAACACTTCCACCATCTTCTAATCCAAATGGTGCTGAATTTGATCCGGAAGAAGATGAACCTACTCTGGAAGCGGCATGGCCTCATTTGCAATTAGTGTATGAATTCTTTCTAAGATTGTTGGAATCTCAAGATTTCCAACCATCTATTGCAAGACGTTATATAGATCAAAAGTTTGTCTTACAATTATTAGAGTTATTTGATTCTGAAGATCCTCGGGAAAGAGATTTCCTTAAAACAACTCTTCATAGAATCTATGGAAAGTTTCTCGGTTTAAGAGCATATATCAGGAAGCAAATAAATAATGTTTTTTATCGATTTATATATGAAACTGAACACCATAATGGTATCGCCGAACTTCTTGAAATTTTAGGAAGGTAATATCACACAAATTCTTTAATCTTTTGAATTTAAGCTGAATGAGATCTATCTGATGAACTAAATATGTGACATACATATGTAATAATGTGACATACATTTATTGATTTTACTTATTCCAGCATTATAAACGGTTTTGCTTTACCATTGAAAGAGGAACATAAAGTTTTTCTTTTAAAAGTGCTGTTACCTTTGCACAAAGCTAAATCGTTGTCAGTTTATCATCCACAATTAGCATATTGCGTCGTTCAATTTTTGGAGAAGGATCCATCTTTGACAGAACCCGTTATTAGAAATTTATTGAAATTTTGGCCAAAAACACACTCTCCCAAGGAAGTCATGTTTCTTAATGAATTGGAAGAAATTTTAGATGTAATAGAACCAGCTGAATTTCGAAAAGTACTGGATCCGTTGTTTAGACAATTAGCAAAATGCGTTTCGTCTCCACATTTTCAAGTACGTACTTTATTCTACAGTTTAGCATCAAATACATTTGATCGAAACTTTACATGTACCATTTTATTTTAGGTTGCTGAGAGAGCCCTTTATTATTGGAACAATGAATACATAATGTCATTAATATCAGAAAATTATTCTGTAATTTTACCGATTATGTATCCAGCTTTTTATAGAAATTCACGAAATCATTGGAATAAAACGATTCATGGTTTAATTTATAATGCATTGAAACTATTCATGGAGATGAATCAAAAAGTATTTGATCAGTGTACTAATCAGTATCATCAGGTATATTAATAGTAAAAAATAAATATAAGACATTTATATTGATCACGCGTATTCATATGTAATTGGTCTATTTAACTTATATAGGATCGTCAAAGAGAACGTAAGCTTATGAAAGATAGAGATGAAGCGTGGATGCGCGTAGAAGCATTGGCAATGAGACATCCACATTATAATATGGCAATTACTAAAAGTACACCGAACATTCCATACAGCTTGACGCAACATTTAGATAGTCCTCCACCCGATGAGGATGGTGACACGGATCAAACTCCGCTTACTTTAGAAAAGATTGAAGCTAAAGCAAATGAGGTGTGATATTATTTAAAATTGATAATAGATATGAAATAATAAAATAATGAGAATCTAATGAATGTTTTATATTACGCAGGCGAAAAAAATAACAAATGTGAATACAATGAAACCACTTCTACGAAGGAAGAGCGATATACCACAAGACTCTTACACAATACGGGCATTGTCCGATCACAAGCGAGCTGACGAATACCTTGTAACACCGCCCGATCCGAATAATTGCTAGTCCTTACCCTATTCTCTTCCGATGTATCCCCTATTTTGTTGTAGTAAAATCACAAGTTAGCTCTTTTTCGGGAGATGGAAAAAACGGCGATAACATAACCTTGGCAGTTAACTCTGCCTTAGAGAGCCTTATTGTGCGGAATCAATAACATTTAATGTATATTAGAATTTTGTTTGCTCGTGTTAGAGAAAGTATCTTCCTCTTGTTACACCTTTAGATTATGAGAACATGGAGAATCGCATGAGAGTAATAATGTCCATATGATGCATGTAAATCACTTATTTCCTTTCTCAATTACAGACCATGCTAATTTAAGAAGTTGTTGAAAAGAACAAAAGAAAAAAAAAAAGAAAAGAAATATTAAAAATGTGTATTGTTCGAGGTAAAAATACGGTAAACAAAGGGCTCTAAATTCATTAGTTATGAAATATTTAGCACAAAGGCATTTAAAATGCTAGTTATGCTCTATATATATATATATATATATATATATATATATATATATATATAAAATATACATACACATACACACATACACATAAAAGATATATATATATAGTATCATTGGTATAAATGACATTATTAATGCTGTGGTTTTCATGAACTTGGTATATTCTAGGAAAGATTTTATACAAACGAGGATACGGAAGACGGAAGGAGCAGTATCATCGATAACGTTTTACTCTGTGTTATCATTAAATTATACTAAGCGAAGCGAGCTTGTTGTGTTAATAACTATGATAAATGAAGTTTTACGTTTACGTGTACATGGTGTAAAATAATTTATATTCTCGCTTTAACACTTCCGGCTCATATTAGAGCAGAAAAAAACGCCAGACATTATTACCTTAGGGTGTATACGACAGTGCTATTTTAGGATATCGAACACTATAAAATCCGAATAACTTCTACGTGTAATACTACCACTACTACTACTATTACTACTACTACTACTACTATTAATACTATAACTACTATTCTATTACCGCTACTATTACTATCATTACTACTACTATTACTATTACGATTACGACTACTTTTGTATCTGTTGTGCCTAGATGCCTGTGGAATAAATTCACAGAAAAGCGCCTCTGCTAAGAATGATTGTTGTAAGAAACATTATAAGAGCCATGCGGCGAGTTACATTTGCTTTGTGCTAATATCATTAATCGATAACCACAGAATTTTTGGATATAGCTTCTGTAATAACGCGTTTGTAAACTCGTCGCACTTATGATTGTTAGATGAGAAAAAAAAAAAAGAAAAAAAAAAAGAAAATAGGAAGAAAAAAAATGCAGAGGTTTATTACGGCTACAAAAAATAATGAAATCTACCGAGAGAGAAATAGAAAGAGCAGGAATGAAAAAGGGAATGAAAAAGAGAGAAAGAAAATTATAAAATAAGATACATTTAGAACTTCGCGCTGCTGGCAGGCTGTTACGTTTAATATTATCGATAAATACGTTGTTGAACATATATAAGCGCTCGCGCTAAAATATTAGGAAGTTGATGCTAAAAAAAAAAAAAAGAAACAAAAAACAAAAAATGCTTTAAGTCCATTGTTTCACTATTATTTTTTTTTTTTTTTTTTTTTTTTTTTTTTTTTTTTTTTTTTTTTTTTTTTTTTTGGAGGAATGGCCACTTTGTCTAATGTTTATCGATGATACGATAATTATTACTATTAATATTATTATTATTAATATTACTATTATTATTATTATTTTTATTATTATTATTATTATTACTATTATTATTATTATTATTATTATTATTATTAATATTATTATTATTATTATTATTATTATTATTATTATTATTATTATCATCATCATTATTAAAGCTTATTGTTATATTATTTTTAGTATAAACGATAAGACGTAGCATGGTGTTAGTGCCCATATTGACGCCACCCGGCATGCCTAAAGAATTTATTTGTCTTTTTAATAATTACGTGGTTTCAGTGTGGATATATATACATATATGTATATATATATACATATGTATATACATACATATATGTATATATGTATATATATAATTAAAAAGAAACTGTTGAAAGTATTTCATCTATATGTTGTGTGTCAAATTGACACATTCAATATCTCATTATACCGAAGAAAACATCGAAGAATATCATTATACGATAGCGAATACGAATGTATACGTTATCTAAAAACTGATATCATTTACGTAGATAATTAGAAAATTTTATGAAAATACACACACATGAGCGCTGCCGGACGTTTCTCATCTAAATAGCATATATCAATGTGTTGCACCATATCGCGGGATTTTTTTTTTTTTTTTTTTTTCATACGTATCGACTAATAATTATTACTAAAAGAGATTTGTTCGCCTCGACGAATAATTCTTTTCTTTGTAAATTATTTCGAGACATTTCAAGTTCTCAATATGCCTTATATGTATTATATTTGTGTAAGAACAGAGTTAATTAAAGTCTGTAGTTCATACGTTTGTAAATATCATGTAAATAATATAATTATGTTGGAATGCAGTCTACTGAGTTCCAAAGATAATAACGTAAAGTTTTTAGTTTAAATTTCGAATGCAATATAATTTTATTTTTTCTTTATACAGTGGTCATATTCTCAAGGAGAAGAATTATCTAATGGAAATATGGAAACAGTTACGCGCTGTAATATTATACTTTCTATAATGATTTAAAAGTAATTATATATTCATGATTCGTTTAATTTATTTTGCAAGATTACAAAGCAAACGAAGATGACGTGAACATAATAATATTATGTTTATGATATATGTTTAAGAGCTTAAAAAGAAAAAAAAAAGTATACGTGTGCAGCAAATGCTCTTGCGATGCATTACATGAGATGCATGTAGTATTTATGATCTGCCATTAATTTCATAATTAAAATATGGATACAATATTACGTGCTATTTGTCCCGCAATGTGGAGAAGTATAAAGCAACTATGACACCAAGTAATTTTATTAAGGATGTTTCGATTTAAACAAAAATTGCCCGTGAAATAACTTTGTTACGTTACTAATATCAGATCATTACTAATTATAAAACTTCATTAAACCGCAAGCGCTTAAAAAAAAAAAAAAATAAAAGGAAAAAAAAAATAAAAAGAAATAAAAACAAATGCGGTTCCTTAACTGAATATTCTACAAATAGCTCTCTGATTATGATCAGTATTCCGTTATCGAGTTCTTGTTAAATATGATTTAATCATTTGATTTTATTTCCCACGTATCTTCCCACAATTTGTTGAAAACATAATTTTATAGTAAATAAAGAAATAAAAAATATAGAAAATAATATATTGTGATAAACGATCCTCCATTTACACGAAATGTGTAAATTTAAATATATGTTTCTTAATCTTATAATCTTAATTTTTTAAATTTGTTTATTTCCAAGTTTTATATCTTGGGATCATTTTTAAATTGTTAAAGTCAATTCGAAATTTCGAGTATTCGAAATTAAGAATGTCATCAGTCTTTGCACGAATCATTTGTGACTTCAGCGACAGCTATGGACAAAATACGAACTACAAGCGCAAGCGGGGAACTGCGTCTGTCATATCGGTGTATAAACTTGGTAGATTATATCCCACGTGAACAATTGAGTTCATTAGGTTAGAATAAGTAGTATTAGTAGATTGTGAATTTTTTAATTTTTTATATTTATATTTTTTTTATTTTTTTTTATTTTTTTTTTTTTTTTTTAATGATGGCGTGCATCTTGCAGTGATCCATGCTAGATACGTCGTCGATACGCATTTGTTTCGCGAAAAATGTACAGGGAATAATAAATATAACTGATACATATATAATAATTAGTATATAAATTTGCGATAGAAAATAAGATTTTATCGAATGTTTTGTTAATAATAATTAGTGATATACTTATATATTATATTATTTTAATATAAATTAAAATATTAGATGTATCTGTCGATGTATGATTATCAAGAACTTGTTGATTGTTCGCGCGATAAATCATTACGTAGTAAGATAATACAATTTTTTCTTCTTTTGTTATTATACATTAACATTATTATATGTATATCTATTGTATATAATATAAGTATATTCTTTTACTTCTTATCATTGTTATTATTATATTATATATTATTATAGTAATAGTGGTAGTAATGGTAATATAAAGTGGGCTACTTCTATAGAGGAAAGTATAAAAACAAAATAGTATACAATTTTTAATTTGAAATTTAACAATATCGTAAAAAAATGAAATATGGTATGTGGAATATGGTAAGAAAAAAAAAAAACTTTGATTACATACTCAGAGAACTAACCTATATAAATTCGTAAGTATTCATTTTTTATTCTTTTTTTAAAAAATAATAAAAGTATTATCCAAAAGTTATACGATAATTTTTCTATCAACTCGTTATATCAATTATTATTAACGATTGTAATATAACAATATTACTCAATATTACTAATAGTATACGCGAATACATGATAAAATGTATGACTAAAATTATTTTATATTCTAATTAATTTTAAATTATTAACTAATTTTAATTATTAATTAATACTTTATCAAGCTAAATAGTAGTATATTCGATTATCTTGCTGTCAATAAGTAGACCAGTGTTGTTACCAACAATGAAAATCAAATTAAATGTTGGTATTACTGTTTTAGTGGATTTTTCTCTGCACTAAACATTTACTACACTTTTGATGACAGATCAACGTTATAACAACAATTGTAATTGAGGAAAGAAATATAATATAATTTTACAAAAATGAATTTGGAATTATTAGGTAAGATTATTCAATAATATATATGTTTAAGTAAAACATTTACTTTAATATATCTTGTATTTAATTTATTGTTTCAGAATCATTCGGTCAGAATTATCCAGAGGTGAGATATTTAATTCCAATCAAGTTATTTCAATTTTATATATGAAAAATAAAATAAAATCAAATCATACCTTAGAGCAGAATTATAATCATTTTGTTAGGAATTTGATGGTACATTGGATTGTATATCGCTTGCTGTGACATGTACATTTAACAAACGAGGAACCTTACTTGCTGTTGGTTGTAATGATGGTAGGATAGTTATATGGGATTTTCTGACACGTGGGATAGCAAAGATCATCAGTGCACATGTACATCCAGTTTGTTCATTGAGGTAGGATAGTTCATTTTATTCTAAATAAGTTAAGTCTGATATAATCACAAATATTATGTAGAATTTTTAACAGTGTTTATATATCTATATAGTTGGTCTAGAAATGGGCATAAGTTGCTGAGTGCTTCCACAGATAATAATGTTTGCATATGGGATGTTTTGTCTGGGGAATGCGATCAGAAATATAGGTTTCCTTCTCCAATTTTAAAAGTTCAATTTCATCCAAGGAATTTAAATAAATTTTTAGTATGCCCAATGAGACATGCTGCTGTAATGGTTGACGTCGAAGGCACACACAGGGTCATACCTCTTGATGAGGACGTATGTAATATTTATAAGAATTATATTTTATTATATTTATATTCATATAAATATTAAATATATATATTATTTAAAACTATTGTCTTATTTTTAGAGTGATTTAAATATAGTAGCATCATTTGATAGAAGAGGTGATTATGTATATACTGGAAATGCTAGAGGTAGAATTTTGGTCTTAGATGCAGAATATTTAACTGTTAAGGCATCTTACAAAATTTCACAAGGTACTGCCAGTAATACGGCAGTAAAGAGCATTGAATTTGCAAGACGTGGTTCATGTTTTCTTGTTAACACTTCCGATAGAGTAATTCGCGTATATGATAGTACAGAGATATTGGCATGCGGGAAAGATGGTGAACCAGAGCCAATTCAAAAATTACAAGATCTTGTAAATAAAACAATGTGGAAAAAGTGCTGTTTTTCTGGAGATGGAGAATACGTATGTGCTGGGTCTGCCAGACAACATGCATTATATGTTTGGGAAAAAAGTATTGGAAACTTAGTTAAAATTTTGCATGGAACTAAAGGAGAACTATTATTAGATGTTGTGGTATGTATAAGAAATTAAATAAAAGATTTTAATGAATAAATAAAAGATTTTATATGAATATAATTATAAAATTAAAATTTCTATCTATTGTGTATAGTGGCATCCAGTAAGACCTATCATAGCTTCCATTTCATCAGGTGTAGTTTCTATTTGGGCACAAAATCAAGTAGAAAATTGGTCCGCTTTTGCGCCAGATTTTAAAGAATTAGATGAAAATGTAGAATACGAAGAAAGAGAAAGTGAATTTGATTTAAGCGACGAGGATAAATCTGTAGTACAGGGTGAAGAAGCTCAAGATGAAGAAATTGAGGTAGATGTAGCATCAATCGACAGAGTTGCTGCATTTTGTAGTTCAGACGAAGAGACGGAAGATATAGGTTCTCTTCAATTTTTACCGATATCTCCAGATGTAGAGGATTCAGAAGATAACCAAACTTCTCCTCATGAACCACCAGTAAAGAAACATCGTTCACATAATATCGATTTACAAGGTGCACCAACTGGAGGTAGAACTTATACATTTAATAGATCTTATTCTTAAATTATCATTTAAAATAGCATTGATCAAATTGGTCTGCTTACAGAAACACATCCCTTATTGAATAAAGGAAAGGATAAACCTACTACAAAGAAAGGCAGACCTAGATTAGAGCATAGAAAAGGAAAATAATTTTTTTTAATTATTCATCGTACTCACAAAAATTAATAAAACGTGTCTTATCATATGTATATATACATCTAAGTCATTTTGTATTGAAAAGTGCAAATATTATCTTATTAAGAGGCAAAGAATATTTGCAATAACTTTTCCATAAACATTTCTTACAAACAAAAGTTGTTAATATTCTCAATGTACTGTATAAAAAAAATATTTAAAGATTTTTAAGTTTAATCAAAATCTACGAATATTTCATATATTATATTGATTATATTTTCATATATTGAACGGTTTATTGCTTACAAAAGAAATATAATTTAATTTTTTAACAGATTACAAATATTTATTGATGGAAGAAGAAAGAAAAGAAAAAAGAAGATTTTCTGTTTAATTTCAAATGTATTATGCTAATAATGTAATAAAATTGTACAGAATATGTCCTTCCTATTTACATGTTGATTTTTATTACATATATGTTGTATCTTATTATCGTTCTACGGTCGAGCCATCTGCCCGATTATCTACTAAATTGTTTGCAAAAAGTGAAAATGTACGTATACATAACCTATTCTTTTATACCATAATCACATGTTAATGAATGATAAATTTTATCTTATCTTTTTTACCGATTTGTATCATTGAAATTAATTTTATTATATTTATTTAATACTGATTACTTTTAACAAATAGCATCATACTTGTTCAAAATGTTGATCACGAGATCATTCCGACAAATAATGAAAAAATGGTTCAATATGCAAAAGAAAACAACACAGGGAGTACAATCAGCTAAGGAAGCAGTGTTTCGCGGAGGTGTTATTATTATCAGTGGTATTCTCATTATTTGGTTATCTGTATTTCTCTATACGGCGTTTTACTATGCTTACATGCCTAGTATGTCATATGTACGGCCTGTGCATTTGCAATTCAAGTGAGCTTCAATTCAAAACTTGTACGTTATATTAGAATATATAGATTACTTTTAAGAAAATTAATATTTGTATTTAATTATTTCATGTGTAAATAAATTTTGTATTAATTACTTCATACATATATGTAAATTAAAATATTATTTTTAACAATAGGTCATGCGATGAGGACAAAGGAATTTGCAGTTTTCCATCGGCTCATATACAATTGACGAAAAAACAAAATCTACTGATGGTTGGCCAGCCTTATAAGATTAATTTACATTTAGAAATGCCAGAGTCTCCAGCAAATAAAGAACTTGGTATGGCTATTATGTTAATCAAGTAAACAAACTATTTTCTCTTTCTCTGTCTCTATCTTTGTAAACATTAATTTACATACAGGAATGTTTATGGTATGTGCACAATTACGTAGTAGAGATGGATTCTTAGTGGAACATGCCTGCAGATCAGCAATGTTGCATTACCGTAGTACATTATTACATATGCTTAGTACTCTTACATTTTCACCTATGATGATCTTTGGTACTACAGAAGAAAAACAAAATGTTGTCCTTGAATTATTTGGAAATTTTGAAGAAGATCAAGTATATATAAGATATATATTAATGAAAAATAATTATAAAAATTGATCAAAACGAATATTAACTTATCTGTATTTTAATTTCAGAGTCATCCGGTTACAATAATTTATATTGAAATTCAATCAAGATATATAGAATTTTATTCTGCGTCGATAATCATCAATGCAAATTTATCAGGCTTACGCTATTTGATGTTTCATTGGCCTATTTTATCAACCATTATTGGTATCGGAACAAACTTGTTTTTCTTAGTGCTTATATCTATTTTATCGTATTTACATTTTGCCATGGATGAAGAAGATAAAGAGGAGAATTTTGTTTATGAAAAAGGCGAATCAGAAGAAGAGAAAGATATCAAGACGCTTAGCGATTGTAATATTATGAATAGCTTTGTTTTTCTTATTATTTGCACTTTTGTTTATTTAATGTCAAACTCTTATATTTTTATTAATTTCTCTCACAGTATCATCAGATTCTTCATCGCAGGAAGATGTTCCTGCATTAGAAGATGTTCCAAAATCTTGGTATGAAGCTTATTCGAGTCAATCATCTGATCCGATATTAGGCGAGCCTAGTTATATTCAAGAAATTTCAACTCTTATAGCAGAATCATCTGACGTCGAACTTATGAATTAGTTTGATTTATTTGTACAAATGCATTATTTGTTAAAAACAAACAACGAAACGTACTCTATTATGTACAAACAAAACAACAAAGTGAATATTACTATATTTAGATATATTTCTAAGGGGGATAATTTAGTCGATAATTTATATTTATAACAATAAAATTCGAGTCAGTGTTCTGTTCTAATAATAATTAATTTATATAACAAATATATTATGACTCTCTGTACATTAATTTAAAAAGCAAACGATATTGTGATGTGAAGATCAATCTATGTATTTTTATATGTTAGAAGCTATTTAATTATTTACTGTCACTGTTAATATTTTTTTTCGGATTTTAATGAAAAACAATACAAACTGTAAATGCATTGTCATGAAATCAAAAAGGTATAATGTTTAAGATATTGTATATATTTACACAGAGATATATATACAGGTTGCGTTTTATATTAGATAAGTCTGCATTTATACGCATTTGTGTATATCTTTATAGATGGCGGAATACTCGGGATAAATTGATCGTCGACTTATTTACTACGAGTATAATAATTAATAGACATGATGTAACAAATTATGTGAAGTATTTTCTTTATGTAGATTTTTTGATAATATTATGTGATATTTTATTTCCTGGCATTATAGGTACGAGTATATATATGTCAATATGGCGAAAAAAAAGCGACTGATCGATGAGATAAAGTAACAATGAAATTATTATCAAAGATCTTGAATTGATACTGATACTTATCTAATATAACAGTGATAATAAATTTTTGCACTCGTCAATGTTTTCATCTACATTATTATACAATTTTCGAGTATTTATTTATTTACAATTTCCAAGTAAAATATTCTTCTTCCTTCTTCCTCGAGGAGTTAATAGTCGCTATTTAATCTGCTCCTGTCTTAATTAACTCTCATGTAGGTAAGAGTCACCAGTTGCTAGACTTCATAACTTGCATCTGTTGCCAGTTGCTTTTTTACCCTTGTAGGTATGTACATATATATGTATGTATGTATGTATATACGTTACTTGACAATTATAAAAGAAAAATGAGAGAGAAATGTGTGTCTGAAATATAAATGTGTATTCTCGTATTATGAATTGTTCCAACTTACAATTTTGTGTAATTAGAGTTAGAAAATCTCACATCGAATAATATAAATTTTGTTATCGAAAAAAGGAAGAAAGGGAGAGAGAGAAAGAGAAAGAGAAAGAGAGAGAGAGAGAGAGAGAGAGAGAGAGAGAAAAGATAGATAATGAAAGTATTGAGAAATGATCTTAATTCGATGATCGTGCCAGGTGGCCTCAAGGCTACGAAGCCATGCATCATCCCTTACACTCTACTTATATATTTTTATAATACCATCAGAATATAAAGTTAATTCGTTCTCGATCTAATAACTTGAGTTTATAAATACTGCGAGTACTTTCGAAAAAGATTAAAGTAATAAAGTACTATAGTATTAAAGTATTAAAGAAAGGAAACTCGATGTAATCGTAAGAAATGTTCTTCCCGATTAATTATCTTCAATCAAAAATATAAAATAAATCGGAAACTCGATTCACGAATAGATAATTCTGAATGACCTCGTGATTTGATTATTCGAAGAAGAAAAATATTTAAAAAGAATCTCTAGAAGTTTATAAGACTCTCAAAGGAACTACGTATATATAACTATACCGTTAGAACATTTAAATGGAATTAGATAATAACTCTCTAGATTAAAATCATAATGTTTTTCTTTAATTTGCCATTTCGAAATAATAGGAAAAACATTGCTTGATATCAACGAGGTATTCTTCTTGAAATTGCATGTATATTTTATAGGATGAGAAAGATCTTTTTCTTTTTTTTTTATAAGAAATCGAGATGAAAGAACTATATAATCGAATCAACGACTATAATCTAGTCTTTTATTTAAATTATCTTTTCGATCGACTTCTATTCTCTATTTTTCTTTCTCTTTCTCTTTTACTCGAACATTATGGAAAATAATTAAACAGCTTTCCTCGTTTTTTTATTTTTCGTTTCGAAAGAAAAAGTATTAATGTTTGAAGATGCTATGAAAAGAGAGAAAAAGGGAGAGAGAGAGAGAGAGAGAGAGAGAGAGAGAGAGAGAGAGAGAGAGAGAGAGGGAAAGAGAAATGGAAAGAGGTAGAATAAACTGATTTTAAAGTTGATTTTTACGAAATAGAGAACACAGAAAAGATCAGATGATTTTCTTTTAGAGTGGTCAGAGGATAGAAACGTTTAAAAGATGGGAGTACTTAGACGCGATAACAAAGTCGACGATTTCTTCGTAGATTTCTCGATAGGTAGGAATAAGAGATTTCTCTAGAATCGGATTATTTTCTACCAGCGAGCTTTCATTCGAGATGCATTGGAATAATTATCCACTTTGAGTCGTTTCCTTTTAGCACGTAGAAAGAGAGAGAGAGAGAGAGAGAGAAAGAAAGAAAAAAAGAGAAAAAGAAAGAAAGAGAAAGACAGAGAGAGAGAGAGAGAGAGAGAGAGAGAATGCAAGTACGAAAAACTTTTTGGTTCATTCGTTTGCATGTTTAACGAGGTCGACGAAAAGAAGACTCACCATAGCTTTTCGTTTTCTCTTTCTCTTCTTTCGATTACTACCAACAGCAACATTGAAAGCGAGAGAGAAAAAGAGAGAGAGAGAGAGAGAGAGAGAGAGAGAGAGAAATATAAAAGGAAGCAATTTCATCGAAAATCAAATTTTGTCTTCCTTCTTTTTTTTTTTTTTATTATATTCCCCCTTTCTTCTTTTCTCGTGCTTTCGATTTAATTGGCAGATATTGACGATTAATTCCTACAGGATATGATTAACGATTGAACGGGATCGAGTAGCTGTTATTCGAGCATAATTCGACATGATTCGAGAGAGTGAACATTTATATTGTATAAATGAATAAATAATTCAGATTTTGCAGACAGTATTATTAATGTATGTATCTTCAAAATTCGATTATCGGATATTACCATTAGGAATCTGATCTATAGCCTATCTCATTTTAACTCCAATTCAATTATATTTATATAAATAAGTAATATA